CCTCCTCCTCCCGCCGCTCCGGCGCCCTGGCCGCCTCCCCGCGGTGCATCTTGCGGTGTTTCCAGAGGTTGGAGAAGGAGCGGTACGCCTTGCCGCACTCCTGGCAGCCGTAGGGCCGCTCGCCCGTGTGGATGCGCCGGTGCTCGGCCAGGCGGACGGCGATGGCGAAGCTCTTGCCGCAGTCGGGGCAGCGGAAGGGCCGCTCGCCCGTGTGCAGCCGCCGGTGGTCCTTGAGGTGCGTGGACTGGCGGAAAGCTTTGCCGCAGTCCGGGCACGGGTACGGCCGCTCGCCCGTGTGGATGCGCCGGTGAACCTGAGGGGGGACGGAGGGGATGGAGAGGGGAAAGGAGAGGGAGAGAGGGGGGGGATGGATCAGGAGAGAGAGAGAGGAAAATAAAAATATGGCGGGATGGAGGATCCTGGGATCCATCCCCAGCCTGGAGCTCCTCAGCTCCATCCCCAGCCTGGAGCTCCTCAGCTCTATCTCCATCCTGGAGCTCCTGGGATCCATCCCCAGCCTGGAGCTCCATCTCCATCCTGGAGCTCCTCAGCTCCATCCCCAGCCTGGAGCTCCTCAACTCGGCTCTGCTCCCCATCCTGGAGCTCCAACCCTATCCTGGAGCTCCTGGGATTCATTCCCAGCCTGGAACTCCTCAGCTCTATCTCCATCCTGGAGTTCCTGGGATCCATCCCCAGCCTGGAGCTCCATTCTCCATCCTGGAGCTCCTCAGCTCCATCCCCATCCTGGAGCTCCTCAGCTCTATCTCCATCCTGGAGCTCCTGGGATCCATCCCCAGCCTGGAGCTCCTCAACTCGGCTCTGCTCCCCATCCTGGAGCTCCATCCCCACCCTGGAGCTCCTGGGACTCATTCCCATCCTGGAGCTCCTCAACTCCATCCTCAACCTGGAGCTCCTGGGTTCTGCTCCCGGGATGGAGCTCCTGGGATCCATTCCCCATCCTGGAGCTCCTCAACTCCATCCCCAGTCTGGAGCCCCTGGGATTCATTCCCATCCTGGAGCTCCTGGGATCCATCCCCAGCCTGGAGCCCCATCCCCCAGCCTGGAGCTCCTCAACTCGGCTCTGCTCACCATCCTGGAGCTCCATTCCCCATCCTGGAGCTCCAACCCTATCCAGGAGCTGCTGGGATCCATTCCCATCCTGGAGCTCCTCAACCCCATACCCAGCCTGGAGCTCCATCCCCAGCCTGGAGCTCCTGGGTTCTGCTCCCGGGATGGAGCTCCTGGGATCCATTCCCCATCCTGGAGCTCCTTAACTCGGCTCTGTTCCCCATCCTGGAGCTCCTCAGCTCCATCCCCCAGCCTAGAGCTCCTGGGATCCATCCCCACCCCGGAGCTCCATCCCCACCCTGGAGCTCCATCCCCACCCTGGAGCTCCATCCCCACCCCGGAGCTCCATCCCCAGCCCGGAGCTCCATCCCCAGCCCGGAGCTCCATCCCCACCTTGGAGCTCCATTCCCCAGCCCGGAGCTCCATGGCCCCGTTCCATTTTGGGACGATCCCTCCGCGGTGAAAACT